TAAGCGCCCCATGCCCACCCTCCTAACCAACTCACCTGCTTGGTCGAATGATCCGTAGGAAATGGAACACAGGGCAGCATCGATACCATCATTCACAGAAGATCCCTTCGGATACGATAAATGGTGTATCAATCAAAATTTACACACTTCCTTTTTGGGGACAACTGCAGCCCGGCCAGCGGGGGTTCGGCAAATGGCCCAGCCACCCTCACCAACTGTACTTTCTTACCCCAATTGTCGTGGACCACCTGACTTTAAATTCAGACACAGGCGCCCAGCCACTGTAACCCGATGCGGAATGAAGAACCTTTCGGAAAACCCTTTGAACAACAACTCTGTGTAATCCTGGTTAATGTAACGGCTTAGCCAAGGTAAAACCCCGCTTTTGTTCTTAGCAGTTGAAGACTTACCCCACTTGAAGCATCTGGCGAGCCCGTGAGCCCCCCCACAGCCAGAGCACTCATGCTTTAATCTGCATTAGGCCCTACATTTACACTGGCTCTCGTTAAAGAGCCAGCACACCTTTCTTCTGACCGCCCAACGAAGAGGCGACTGTGCTTCTGCCGGCCCCACCATGAAAGGGCGCATCCTTCTGTGCCATCAACAATTTAATCCAGAGCGGCAGGTCCATCTGGTCCCATCGCATACCCTGATTGGCGGACAAGCGCTGCCAGAATTGCTCATCATACCGCCACCATGCCAAACCATTGTAAGTCCGATAGGCCTCCCAGATCCTGTCCAGATACCAGAATAGCTGGGAACAATGGTCAGGAGATTTCTACACCAACACGCTTGCTAGGATACAAAAGGCCCTGAGCCAATTCCCAAACAACTTCCGTATCTTCCGATACCAGCGTCGTTTCACTCCGGCCCCGGCATCACTGAGAGGCGCATGAGGGAGCTGAGTAGGGGGAACAGAGCTCCCTCGCTGCCTGCCTCCACTGTTCGCCCACCTGTTCCTGCCTGCCCGCTATTCCCCCCCCCTGCCAAAGTGACTTCCATCAGACAGCCTATAGGTCTTTCACCACATGGGTACATGGTTACCTGGGACCTGGACCCCAGGGAAGAATCAACTCCAGCACTCCCAAAGGTAGGGAGGCTGGATTGATTTGACATTAAAAAAATACTGTGAGTGTGTGTCAGTGAGAGTGTCAGTATGTGTCTGTTAGTGAGTGTGTGTGTGTCTGTTAGGGAGTGTGTATTTGTCTGTCAAAGAGTGTGTATGTCTGTCACTGAGAGTGTGTGTCTGTCAGTGTGTGTATGCGTGTCTATCAGTGTGTGTATGCGTGTTTCGGTGTGTTTATGCATGCCTGTGTGTGTCAGTATGTGTATGTCTGTTAGTGAATGTGTATGTCTGTCAGCTAGTATATGTGTCTGTCAGTAAATGTGAGTGTCTGACACTGAGTGAGTGTGTGTCTGTCAGTGAGTGTGTAGGCATTTCTATCAGTGAGTGTGCATCTGTCAGTGAGTGCGCATGCGTGTCTTGTCGGTGAGTGTGTGTTACGGTACCTCCAGTAATAAATGCACAAACTGCTGTTTAGTGAATGCTCCCCATTCGCAATAATGTAGTCTGGTAGCGTATGCAGTATAACCATGCAAACCGCCAGCTAGGGAACACTCCAAACTCCCGAACGGTACCTGTACGGCTCCTTCCCTTCACAAGCTCCAAATGCACGAATCGCCAATAGCAGCCGAACGGCAATAGTTTCCAAACGGCAAATAATCCCGATAAGCAGTCTCTAGTCGCCGGTAATAAAATCCCCCCAATAACGAGACCAAGCTCCGCTTTGAGGGTAAAACACGAACTGAGTTTACTGTGGGCTACCTGCCCGTATTTATGCAGGTCTCCCACTTGGTGGACACTCCCCTAGGGGACCAAATGGGAGACTGGAATTACAGAAGGACATGGGGACATTTCGGACATACATCCCCACAATATTCCCAGCATGCATCACAGTTTCCTCCCCTCTGCTCGGGAGATAATTGGGAAGTAATTCAATTATCTCCCAGAGCAGAGGCAAATCGCCATTTTAACTCAAAGTTACAAAACACATTAAAATACAGAACTTTATAACTGCCGAACGTATTGCATTCGTATAACACATCCCCAGATAGCCTGGATCTGAGTGCATATTATTGGCGAATAGCGCTCAGATCCCATACACACAGTTCAATCGCCATGGAGTCAAAGTCTATTACAGTTCTTCGGTATGCGATTGACTCCATGGGAAGGCTATCTGGGTTAAGTCCATTCGTGTTGTTAAATCTCCCGAACGGCCGGTATTCGTATGCTTTTGTCGATTGAGAAGGGGAGGTCGACGGCTTCAGCGGTGTTCGGTTGAAAAAGTGTCCGTTTTGAGTTCCATGAAATAATCGTCGAACACCGCTGGGCTTTCGCATAGTTAAAATGGCCGCCGCCTCGTGGTCGACATACGAACGACGACCACCCGGTATTCGGTTTTAATTGAGAAGTGTCTGTGGTTAACCGTAACGTTCTAATTGGGATCAATAGGTTAACCAGCAGCACACTTCTCTTCTGGGTGGCCGTCCGTTCGGTAGTTCCATTAGACAAAAAAATACATTCCCTTAACCAAGGCATACGAATGGGGAAATTCATGCAAACGGCAAAACAGACGAACACAGCAATTTTAGTCCATACGGATGGGTCTGTCTCAGTGTGTATTTGTGTCTGTCGGTGAATGTGTGTGTGTGTAACTGTGAATGTGTATGTTTCAGTCAAAGTGTGTTGGTTAAACAGTGTGTGTAACAATAACTGTGTATCTGTCAGTGATTGTATGTCGGTGCATGTATCAGTGAGGGCGTGTGTCTGTCATGAAGAGAAATATGGAAGGGGGGGCGTGACAAATTTTGTCATACCTAGGGCAGCACAAAACCAGAATACACCACTGCACACACATACACACGCATAAACATATATGTATGTGTGTGTATATACATAGAAATATAAAGTTATAGTATTTATAAATCTTTATGTATTGAAATTTTACAATGCATTTTTATGATAAATAACTTTACATACCATGGCTACTTGAAAAGACTTGAATCCAAATATTTCAGATGATGACAAATGGCAAAGTAGAATTTTTTTTCCACTTTAAAAAAAATACTTTTTTTCAATTTATGTCCTGAAAAAAATTATAATTTTTGATTATAGATGGAACAGCTTTTAAGAGAAAGGCGCAGAGGGGGCGGGGCCGGGCGGCCATGCTAGCAGGCTGCAAGTCACTATGGCTCCTGAGGAATACAGCAAATTTTTGGTGAAAACTCACCTTACCCTGCTTGCAACACCCTGGAAGTCCGTAGTAAAGGTCCTGGAGTGTCCCGGTGCAGCTGGAGCACCCAATCTCGGGTTAATCTGGGTCCTGGTGAGATGCTCTGGGACGTGGGGACTGAGGCCTACCCGGGAGGGGAGTGGGGCGGACGGCCGCTGCCTCGCTTTCTGCCCCGGCTGATACTAAACTACAGCGTGCTTGGAGACCCCCCGGCCCCGTTCACCCCCCCCTATGGACCGGCGGGGGTTATCCCGGTCCCCACCAGGCCAGTTACCACCTATGCAGCCCAACTGAGCAGATCAACGCCTAAAGCAAACACTGCAATGCGGCCTCACCAAAATGGCCGACAGCGGCGCAGCAATTCCACTAGCTACCAAGGATGAACCCTCTGTGGTGAGCTGCAGCATTGCCCGTGAACCTCACAATCTGAGCTGACATCGTGGGGATTTCCACATTGCCCTCGACCTCCACTGTGAACACTCCTGGATTATAATTGAAGACCGGCACGAACCACAGTGGTCTGTGATTCTTTCACTTACCCACACTGCGGCTGCAATCCCTAGGAGCGGGCGCGGTGCCTGCCTTAACTGAGTGCGCCTCACCAACGCTTCCCAAACCGACGCCAGCGACCAGCACTGGAAGTTCATTTAGGGAAATCATCCCCAGACGCCGACTCCATTTTACTGCAGCCTGGACAATGTCACTTGGAAATCACCGAGCCTATACCTGTTCAACAACCGGGAAGCCTGTTAATACCGGTGGGCAGACATTGCGCCCCTTGGCGGGACTTTGGGAATCAGCGGGCCACCTGGGTGCACAACGGGGACTTACCAACATACAGCGCCGCAGAACATGTTAGTGTTTTACATCAAAATAATACCTTGCGGGTAATGGGTGACTTTCATGTACAAATTAGAGTATTAAGCAGAGGCATATTCCAGAGCTTGGTTTTAACTAGATCTAATAAATACTATATATCTTATGTCTTGGAATAGGCTGCCTCTCTTATCATCAGAGCCAGCGGCAAACTCAATTTTCAACGATATGCAACACCTAAGGCACGCACCGTGTATTATACCAATGATAGCCCCAACAGTTGCCACTTGGGCTGCATTTACTGATAAGCATACATCCCCTCAGTTAATGTTCACGTAGAGTTTGTTTATTTTCATGCCTTCTGCAGACTGCTTAATATGTGACATCATGACTGGTGGTATCCTACCTTCATACCTATGTTGGCTAAGCTTATGACCTAAAAACTCAATAGAAATGTCAGTATGTTTATCTGTATTAGTATCTTATATGTCATAACTTATAACTGACAAATTAGACTAACTCTTGATGAAACCATGAAACTTTAAAATAGTGCTGTGAAACAGACATGTGAAGCTCTTTACTGGATGATGTGCTCTGTTGTTACTATTTGCAATGTCTATGATTATATGCGAAACCTGTAAAGCACTAAAAAAAAAAAAAAAAAGAGAAAGGCGCAGAAACAGACCTCTCCCTGATGGATGGCTTCACAGTCTGTCCTGGGATCCAGTGCAAGACTCACAATTATATATTAATGAATAAAAAGAAGAAGTAACAGAGATAACAAGAATTGGAAACGTGGATTGATGCCTATGTGGCAATTGTATTCCAATGAAAACGCATTACAGAGAAATAATGAAAATAAGCCCGATGCTCTCCTATGAATCGTGCACAATTGAACTGGAGTACCTTATAGAAATACTGATTAGCAGGGATCATATTGTAGTTTTTCACAGAATGTCACTTAATTACCAGCGTCAGAGGTTCCATGGTGTCGCTCAGATGCAGGAAAGGCGATACTTAAAAAATACTCTAACAATTTTGTATATATATTATTTATAATATTCATATTTCTCCCCCCCTCCAAAGTGACTACCATCAGACTGCCTATACGTCTTTCACCACTTGGCTACATAGTTACCTGGGACCTAGAAGAACGTGTCCAATACCATCTTGCACTTTCCTGCACCAGATCTGCTATACCAAGGATTTCGGTTTTCAGACTTTGACCCCAATGCTGGGGATTTTCTTTAGATCCTTTGCTACTCCAGTTCGTTTGAATACAATGGCACCTTTCCATATTGTTGTCTCATTGTTAATCTGTACATAATCATGGACAGACAAATTTATTTTTATTAATTAAATATAGGATTATTTTTTTCATGTTATTAGATTAGCAAAACATATATATATTATTATATTAGTTTATATTATATATATATAATATATATTTTTTTGTATTTTTTTTAAACTTCTCTTTATAAAAAAACAAAAAAATTAGCACAAATGTTTTTTTTCTAAATATTATAAAATACATTTAGAATATATTTTATATTCATTTGTTTAATTATAAAAATATATTTTATAATTATATTTTTAATATTTAACTAACTTGTTTTTTTAAAATAAATTATATTAAATGAAAAAAGAGTGTTGTATTTTATTTGTTAAACTGAAAAAAAGAACCGATAACCTCGCTTTTAAAACCTCAGTTTGGTTCGACGGCGATCCTTCAACCCCTCTGGACCGGCAGAGGATATCCCGGTCCCCACTGGACATTCTGGGACAATAAGCACTGCTCCTACCTTCTGACACACATAGACACCCGACGGAACGTCTGGTGCACCAAGCCACAAGATGGCGACTGCCTACTTGCTGAACATGCAGCATTTGTGCCCATCTCAAGTGCCTCAATGCGGCTCCATGGAATCTTCACTGCAGCGCTTGGATGATATCTTCAGGCGAAGTACACAAGCAAGCGCATATTCACTCATCTACTCACCCATCCGGGTCTAAAGCACCTCGAGGCACTGCCTCCAAGCATCTATCACTGAAGTGGAGAATCGCCCACCAAAAAGATGCACACCATCTAGACCCTCTGCTTACCCTGGAAGAGGGATGGACTTGGTTCCAGTGACTACCAGAGTCTGTGAAATAGTGAACCTGGCCCTCATCCAGGCCTGAGGTGGAAGTGGGGCCTTGAATTTATGCACCCTGCTGCAGCCTACCTGAACTCTCATGTACAGTCTCCATTCCTGCCACTGGTGGGGATCGGATAATGGTGGTTGCCGTGTCGTTTGATCTCTGACTGGTGTGCATTCTTTGAAATATGCTTATCTACACACTATGCCCCATTTACACACACTCTCTACAGACCATAGCCACACATATTACACCACAATCACAAATTAAATTGACCTATTTACACAATACCACACCACACTCTACACACACGCAATCCCACAAGCAGGCTACAAACACATGCACGATACGCTTTCCTGGCCCTTTTGTCCTCTGGTATCCCAAAAATGCTTACAGTGCAAATACTGCTGTTGCATATAATGTGCATAAAATTTGAACATTTTCAAAAATTGAAAATTCCCTGTGTTCTCCTCATCTCCGCTTCTCCTCACCCCCCTCCCTGTGTTCTCCTCATCTCCGCTTCTCCTCACCTCCCCACTCTCTGTGTTCTCCTCATATCCCCTTCTCCTCACCTCCCCCTCCCTGTGTTCTCCTCATCTCCGCTTCTCCCTCCACCTCCTTCCTGTGTTCTCCTAATCTCCTTCTCCTCCACTCTCCCTCCTGTGTTTCCTCATCTCCGCTTTCTCTCACTCGTGTTTTCCTAATCTCCCTTCTCCTCTCCTCCCTGTGTTCTAATCCTTTCCTCACTTCCCTCCTGTGTTTCTCCTCATCTCCCTTCTCCTCACTCTCCCTCCCTGTGTTCTCCTCATCTCCTTTTCTCACTCCCTTTTCCTGTGTTCTTCTATCTCTCTACCTCTGTGTGTTCTCCCTCATCCCTTCTCCTCATCTTCCCGCTTCTTCCTGTGTTTTCTCCTCATCTCCATTTCTCCTCACCTCCCCCTCCCTGTGTTCTCCTCATCTCCTCTTTTCCTCCCCTCCCTGTGTACTCCTCATCTCCTCACCACCCCCCTCCCTGTGTACTCCTCATCTCCGCTTCTCCTCACCTCCCCCCTCCCTGTGTTCTCCTCATCTCTGCTTCTCCTCACCTCCCCTCTCCCCGTGTTCTCCTCATCTCCCCTTCTCCTCCTGTCTGTATGTATGTGTGTGTGTGTTTGTATTTATGTGTTCGTATGTGTGTTTGTATGTATGTGTGTCTGTGTGTGCCTGTATGTGCGTGTGTGTGTGTGCCTGTATATGTATTTGTCTGTGTGTGTCTATGCATGTGTCTGGATGTATATCTGTTTGCATGTGTGGAGGGAGCAGGGGGAACGTATGGGGGAGGGTGGCGGGCAGACACACCGTATTCATCCAAAGTTGCAGTTTTTTTATTGAAGTGGATTGGCAATGTTTTGGCTTCTAACATGAGCTTTTCTCAAGGTGACACTTGATGTAAGTTGGGTTTACTTACCAACAGTTCAAAATGAAAAAAATAGGGACATTGTGGTTATAGGGGTGTGGCAAGGGAGTTTCTGAGAGATTTATGATATCATACCAATAATAATAATAATTATTATTATTATGATATTTATATAGCACCATCAAATTCCGCAGCGCTTTACAATGGGTGGACGAACAGACATGTAGTTGTAAGCAGACAAGTTGGGCACACAGGAACAGAGGGGTTGAGGGCCCTGCTCAATGAGCTTACATGCTAGAGGGAGTGGGGTAAAATGACACAAAAAGGTAAGGATAGTATAAGACTAGTGACAGAGGTGGGAGCAGGGCCGCCATCAGGGGGGACAACCATAACGGTTGTCACGGCCCGGCGGCCCAGATCACTCCGCGCGGGAGGAGCGCGCGCGCTGGTGAAGAGGGAGCCGTGCTGACTCCCATCATCCCCAGCCATCCTCCTGCAAAGAAAAGGTAAGAGACAGGAGGGTGGCTGGTAAATGAGCTGTCTGTGTGTGTCTGTATGTATGTCTGTATGTCTGTCTGTATGCATACATGTCTAAGTATGTCTGTTTGTCTGTCTGACTGTATGTCTGTGTATGTATGTCTGTATGCATGCATGGATGTCTATGGATGTATATATGTATGTCTGTTTGTCATTATATATGTATGTCGGTATGTCAGTATGAATGTATGTCTGTGTGTATGTGTGTATGGATGTCTGTATGTCTGTCTGAATGCATGCATGTCTATGTATGTCTGTTTGTCTGTCTGACTGTATGTCTATGTATGTATGTCTGTGTGCATGCATGTCTATGGATGTATGTCTGTATGCATTGCATGTATGTATGTCTATGTATGTATATATGTATGTCTGTATGTATTTATGTATGTCTGTATGTCATTATATATGTATGTCTGTATGTCATTATATAT